TATTGTGCCAAGAAAGATTCCAATATTCCATGATTCCAGCTTTTGGTAATACATTGTGTCCCAATGAACCTTAATCCTTCAATCAGGGGCGGATCTAGGGTAAGTCCAATCAGTCGCGTGACTGACGTATTTTTTGCAAAATTTTCGAAATTTGAATAATTAATTCCCGAATATAATATGAAATTCATATAATAGTCCAGTATACGTCTTTACGAGCTCAGTTTTGAATAAATATATGCTTTATCTAGAGCAGCGGTAAAACGCAAGAATCTCGCAGAATCGGGTGGTCGTTAGCTTCATTTGATTGGTCGAGAGATCATTTGGACTTATCTCGACTGATCTGTGGGGTGGCCGGACTGATTTGCACTTTAAGGGAGTCTTTATCAGTCCATTTCGTTCCTTTGATTGGTCAATTTGAAAATATTGTGGGGTGGTCGGACTGATTTGCAACTTAAGGGAGTTTTTATGGGGTGGTCCGACTGATTTGCACTTTAAGGGAGTTTTTATCAGTCCATTTCTTTCATTTTGATTGGTCAATTTGAAATTATTGATAATTCCTATTGGTTCATTTTTCTGGACTGATTCGGACTTATTCGCGGCAGGGGATATCAGTCCTTGAAAATTGCGAAATTCATGCAAAGCAGTCTTTCATATTCCCGTATATGAAGGTTTTTCATAGTTGGGAGAATTATTTTACGATGTCGAGTATTTATATGTGCGCGGCCGATTTTACGAGACGATTTAACGGCCTTTAATAAACTTGAATTGTCTCTGAATGAGGATTATTGTGGGGCAGCTAAGATATCAAGCGAGCAGCTTTTATAATGTTGTTCTGTTCAACAACGAGAAGGCACTAAGTTGGGACTTCTCTGCTACATGCTTCACAAAGATCATGGTCGTAATTTGGGTGGTAAAGCCAAAGGAAAGTGTACACTGCTATAATGTATGAAAATATCCAAAATTATGAAACAGAAATCAAATGACTATGTTGCAATGTATCTTGTATGATAAATGCGAAGTTGAAATATAACACGCTTTAATACATTTTTACACGCAATCGACTTGCAACTTATAATGCGCTTTCGGGCCTTATAGCTTTCCTGCTGTATTTATAATTTATAAATGCATTGCCCATTATAAAAAGGGCCAGAATAGAGCATTGCCATTGGAGTGTTAAAACAATATAATTTGGATAATTTGCATTGCATGAAAGATTTGCGATGAATATCGTTATAATATACAAGTGATATTTATAGCATATTGTAATTCATTGAATAAAAAATGCATTTTACAAAGTATAATTGAAATATTACTCTTTATTTTGCTTGAGAATTTTGATTCACAAACAGCGAGTCATGATATTGGATCGGTCATTGGTATCATATCACTTCAATTTGCGAAGGATTTCATGAGCCAAACTCAAAGGCTATTGAAAGTTGAAACTACATGATGTGTTTTGTAATATGACCCTCCGTTAGTAAATCTAATTCCGAGGACTGGGAGAAGGCACGTTTGTGAGATCATAAAAAAAGCATGTGCTTGATGTCCTTTATAATCTTTGGAATTCTGTAAAATCTCACCGCCAAAACGCTTGAAATCGCATTTCAGAGCCTCTAGATTTCAAAATTTTCCGGGTGGGCATGCCCCCAGACCATCCTAGCATGTCTCACGCCTTCGGCGTTCGACTTATGTTTGAAAAATCCTAGATCCGCACCTGCCTTCAATGCTATTTAATAGGAATAGGATGTAGACTCAAAAAAAGCAGGCGGATGTCTGACTTTAAGTTTAATTTATGTAGATCCAATTAAAAGACCAAAATATTATTACTGACTGAAAAGTTTGGAAATTGCGCTCCGGAGATTTCGAAAATTCAATAGTAAATATATAGAAAGCATCAAAATTTGCGCGTCCGATATCTCCGCCGCGCGATACAAACTTTAAATAAGTAAAATTATGTACAAATTATCTACTTCCCTCCTGGTTAATATAACAGTGAAACGTTGTGATAACTTTTAGTAAATTCTTAATATATTTATTTCAAAAACCCCAAATAAAAAGACACGACTGGACCAAATAGTCAATAGCGAACTTTTGCACGCTATTCCATGGTCGCCATTTTGATTTTGATTTCGTAAGAATTACGTAATTAAAATTACGTAATTTGTCATTTTGTGGCGTACCAAAGGGCAAACCTAGAGTCAGTGGGCACCACAGGTGGCCCCACCGACTAATTATTACAAAGCCCTGCCGTCGAATTGTAATCAAGCCCCAACGTTTGGACACTCTAGCGTTCTTAGACCTGCCAAAATACCTCCAAAAAGCATTGATTCGAACTGCTTTCAAAGCTTTACGTACTCTTAAAAAGATCCGGACAGGGTTATTCTTTCAGCGGACAAAGGCAGTTGTGTTGTTGTTATAGATAAACATGATTATCGCGAGAAGGCTCTTTCACAGTTGAATAACAGAAATACGTATTCTATTCTCAAGTCTGATCCTACTGAAAAGACTCAAAGAGGTTTAAACGCCAAGATACTTCTATTGAAGGATTCCAATATTATCAGCAAAGCTACACTGAAAAGTTATACAGCAGTGATGTCCATCACTATCTCCTCATTTCTATGGTTGACCGAAAACCCATAAACCGTAAATTCCATTGAGACTTATTGTGTCCTTTGTGAATTCTCCTACATATGGAGTTTCAAGTTTTTGGCAAAAATTTTGTCCCCTGTGGTGGGGAATACCGAAAATACTGTCTCAAATTCCTGTCATTTTGCAGAATTTGTATAGGCCGTACTCTGTGGCACAAAAATATGCCTAGAAGTTAAATTCCGCTGCCCCCAGTCGGGACTTAAGTTTTAAAAGCTTTATACTATTGTTTTTAAATTACCTTATACAAATTTACTTGTGTCATCTCCGTAAACCCGCAGTTTTTTCGCAATAGCCTTGCAAATGTTCACTAAATAATACACAGATATTCGATCGCCCGCCATATTGTTTTGAGCTTCGAGGACGCCTGTTCGCAGGCGAACTCCTTTTTATGCAGGGAAATAGGTTTTTTGAGACCAATGCGCATGCTCAGAGGGGTTAAGCAAATGTATAAATAAAAAATGCGAGAAAACTTTGGAAAATGTGTATTTGAGCTTAAAAAGTAAGCTGAATTCATCTTTTAGTTGATTTTTCGACAACGCAATCTCAGAATATAATATTAATATATAAAAAGTACAAAAGTTAACGGTGCTAGAACAGTAGAACTGTTTTTTTGCGAAAACGTTTGCACTCTTTATGTGCGCACCAGAGATGTTGATGTTCTAATATGGACACAGGAGGCCCAGGCTCAATTTGCCCGCGCCCGCCTGTGCCTTCCTTATAACGAGGGAAGGACGGAGACATTGAGACCAAAATAGCCCAGACTTGGCATATGTCACACGAAACTATCCTCGATTTTTCGCTTTTAATGCATTTCTTTCACGATTAATCGATATCCCCTGCAAGAATGATACTGTATAACTCTCAAAACAACGATGCTTTAATCAAAGAGCTTAAATTCGCTCTGAAATCCGTGAGGGAATAACAAAATTCGGCCAAAATATATCCGCGTGCCGGGTTTGCTGGACAAAAAGCGGAAGTCGTTGAACAACTCAAAATACACTCAACCCTGATTGGACAACGAAAATCAACAAACATTTCAAATTTTCAGTAGTCAGTAATGTAATATAAATTTGAATCAAAACAATTAACAAATGTTGTCGGGGGAAAACCAGTGCAAATCTAATTATTTAAATTTAAGAAGTTTAGTCAGTAAATACGGATAGTAATTTACGTTATTTACCCTATTTGACAAGATGTTTCAGCGTAAAATTATAGTTATATTTGCAGTTATATTTACAGTAACACATATAATCAACTTGTAATAGACTTTATAACGTCTGTGAATTGTTTTGATTCAAATAATCAAATTATTACAGTCCTGTTCCAAGTACTGTCCCCCTCCCAGTGGAGAAAAATTTGAAATGTTTGTTGATTTTCGTTGTCCAATCAGGGTTGAGTGTATTTTGAGTTGTTCAACGACTTCCGCTTTTTGTCCAGCAAACCCGGCACGCGGATATATTTTGGCCGAATTTTGTTATTCCCTCACGGATTTCAGAGGGAATTTAAGCTCTTTGATTAAAGCATCGTTGTTTTGAGAGTTATACGGTATCATTCTTGCAGGGGATATCGATTAATCGTGAAAGAAATGCATTAAAGGCGAAAAATCGAGGATAGTTTCGTGTGACATATGCCAAGTCTGGGCTATTTTGGTCTCAATGTTTCCTTCCTTCCCTCGTTATAAGGAAGGCACAGGCGGGCGCGGGCAAATCGAGCCTGGGCCTCCTGTGATTTTGATCAAAAGCAGTGTGCATTCCACCATCTTGGATATGCATTCGATATGCATACGTCTCAAGTAGGGTAAAAAGTGAATTTTTTGTCTTGCAACCACATTTCATTATGAATATGAAACTCGACTTTCGGAAACCTTTTTAGTACTTAATTAACTCACAACACTTTAAGAAACTTTTTGAAGAAATTTAGTCCCACATGAAGACGTTTTAACAAGTCTGCCCTGCTTGTGACGTCATCAATTAGGTCAATTATAATACCAAGATGGCGGACTGCACCTGACTCTTCCACATTCCCTCATGCGTTATCCGTATGCGCGGTCGGGATTAATTTCTTCACGTTCTATCGCATTCCCATTAAGCCCCGCGCTCCCATTGTTTTTCCACTGATCTCTATTCCCAACTGAAGCGACGAGGGACGAGGCAGGGACTACATACTGTCTTTGATCACCAAGCAAGGTACGAAAAAGTTGTAACGCTTCTTCATATATAACTTTAAAAGTTCTTTCAAATAAGACAAAGTTAATTCTTATTGGCATATCCCTTTAACATGAATACACAGTTCACTTGAATGAATTGAAATATATTAACATGTCTTATTTTCGAGAGTTCAGCATAGACGTTTTATTCCTCCAAGATTGTGTTTACGCAATTAACACCGCAATTACAAGCTTTGGAGCACGTTAAAGATAGGCGTACACAAGTGCATCTTTGTGTTCCACATGAACGCTCAGCGGAACAACCGCAGTACGCCAGCTGTACGCAAGATGCTGAGACTGGTTCTTCAATCGTTAGCGTGGGCTTCAGCATGCCGTCATCGAAATTCCATCCATTTTCTTCTGGACTTGGAAGAACAGGGCACGGTTCCAAGGCTTTCTTCCATATGAATGTCTGCAGATGCGCACGCTTGATGTGGAGAAAAAGTGTATTTTGAGTGGGTGGCAGAGAATCCAAGCTTTTGGTTGCTCGTCTAAATGACGCCACTCTCTCATGGTTGATGAGCACGTTATCTGTATTTGGATTGTAAAGGTGGCACACAAAGGTTTCCGCATTGGAAAAAACTTGGTCATTTGCGATGCTTTCTTCGCCAAGATGTTCCAGAAGGTCATGATATTTAACGAAAACAGTCCACGCAGATTTCTTACCAATACCAGCAAACTGACTAGTAGTGTCGCAGCCCGTCAAAGCGTGGAATGCCAATAGCGATTCTCTTATGTCTTCCGTGACATGGATTTGGTGTATCGGTACATAGCACTTTTTCCTTGCCGTGCCCGAGAACATCCATAGAACTTCACAAAGATGGGGCTTGTCAGCCGTGCGAAGCAGGAACACATCAGTATCGCGCGATATTACATTGATCTGCTGACTTCCTCGCAGTGTAGCGTCCCTGGCATGTAGAACAATGCGAGTATCTGCTTCCTCCTGGTCGAAATCGAGTCCGGAGACATCTCGACCGATTGAACTCCACGTTTTCGTTGGGTCATTAAAGCCTCCACTAACAACAAGTTCTTGACCAAGGAGTAACTGGCAATTTTCAGACAGTTGTGTGCAAAAGAAATGTGCCAGACTTGCCTTATTCTCGCCGAGAGAAACAAATCTGTCCCAGTTTCCAATTTTCTGGTCACGGCTTTCAACTTTTCTCTTAATTCCTTTACCTTTTACACCTTTCCTCTTCGCACGAGGCCCTCCTTTAATGGAGTTGTCCAAGTACCGATCAAATACAATATCAACTCTTGTGCATTTATCAGAAAAGTGCGAGAGAACATACGACTGGAACTTGTCGCACCATTCGCCGAACGTCATGGATTTCCCCCGGTTTCCTAGTGCCTGTACGGAAGCCATTCCATCGATGATGGTGCATGTGACATCTACGTCCGTAGGACGGCTTTGTGTTGTGTTTTCTTGCAGTATATGACTCAGATCAGCCTTACTTGTACAGTTCCTTAGCTTTCCATCTACGGTGGCTATCGATAGTGGAACTGACGAGAGTTCACGTTCCAGTAAAGCATCAACGTCAACTTCTCTTCCCGATTCCAATGCAACTACAACTCTTCTGAAAAGATCTCTGTCCGCCTTGACAGACACTGTTTTGTCTTTGTTGACTTTTACATTGACAGAGTAGAGTGTTTCAAACGTCTTAAGCTTTTGTTGTTTGATCTTGTCATGCAACTTGGTTTCTTTCTTTATCAATCTTTCTTGAACAAAGGTGTCCGTGCAATTAAACGATATTAAGGACATGGATATAATAAACAAATACATTCACCATTCATGGTGTTTACCAGCACATTCGTGTCTGTCCCTTCGATTTGAAGCTCGCGACGTACATCTTCAAGTATGAATGTTACAGTACTACAGCTATCCAACATGGCGTACGTGTTAACTTCTCTTTCGTTCGAAATCAGCTTTACTGGCACAATAGGCCCTTTCAAGGTTTATTCCGCCATATTGCCGGGGGTGCAAAACATTGGGGCGAGCGCGCGGCCAAGCCATGGCTGCCATATATTTTACTAATGAGTGAGCAATAATTTTGTGCGGACATTTTGTTGATTTTCTCATGCTATATTAAAAGATAGCCCAAATTTTTGTATTCTGGCTGATCTGTGTGTATTTTCAAACTACTGGTGAAGATTTCAATGGAATCTGATTGGGGAAAATCCATGAATATACCGATTTCTTCGACACCTTTTAGCGAGCTGTTTGCAGTGGATTCACCACAACAAAACGCCGGAAACAGAGCTTTTACGTCTCTGTTTGTTTAAACAAAACAACATTACAAAAGAATCATGATTAAAAACAAGACAACAGAGCTGTCGGGAAAGAAGAAAGACGTCCAGGTGCGAGAGTGTAACCTGATACCAATGTCAATCTCACCTTTATCGAATCCAAAGGGTATATATTGAGAGATATTGAGAGTTCGAGTTGTTTATATTTTATGTTCTCATAGGAGGAGTATATTGCAAATAGTCATTTTACTTTGGCTGTTTATGGCTACAAAGGAGAAGCTTGAACACGAGGATTTCGTTGGGTTGACAGAGTGGGAAAAAGGTTGAACTTGTGGCAAGAGCATTTAAAGCGTATGAATTGGGTGCTCCAAAGAAATTTACACAGGAACAAATTTTTTATAGTATTAATTAAGAAGGAATACCAACAAAGGCTACAAACAAATGATATTATTAGAGCGATCCTAACACTCTGTGCGATGAATATTGGAAAGATGACATCCAAACATGGCCACATCTTGATGATGGAATGCTACATTCTACGAGTAAAGGCAGTGGATGTTGAATATATTGGCAAATACAAAGATGAGAGGGCCTACTCATATTGGATGAGTGGATTTGTTGATATAATTCATGTTGCCAAATGCCCCATTGACAAGACCATGACAATTTTTTGTAAAGCTAAGTATGTCCATCACAAAGGATTTGTGATGACTCACATATAAAAGTGTGGATGTGTGTCCTTGAACAGCTGGAACAGTCGAGGCATGTAATCATATACCTGCTGTCCTCTATGTATAAGATCAACTATGCTTGCAACAAGCAGTATATTTCCCCTGCCTGTGTGCCTGTACCAGTGTTCCCCAAGGATGGAACAAAGGAACATGAAAAGAAGTAAATCTAAGCAAGGTTAAAAATGTAATATTTAGACCAAAATCCTAGCCGCGATTAAACATTGAGGAAACAATTTGACCCCAGAAAACCTGAGGACAGAAATATAACCAATGAAAGAGTTTCTTTATCATTTATTTATTTATTTTAATTTTTCTCCCCATGTACAGTTCCATAGACAATATTTACATATTTTTCCTTATATTAATTTGGGCTAAAGACCTCCTAGATACTTTGTCAGGCTTTTTGCTTTAGGCCTCTAGTAAAGGTTTATAGTTAACTGTTAGATTTATAATATATTATTTTATTTTACAGTCAACTCAGAGAGAGAATTTTCAGATTAATAGAGGAACAGTAATATGCAAATAGAATAATATGCAAATAGAATGTTTTCATCAAGAAATGCTGCTTAATTGGTTTTTTGAAGATGTATTGAGAGTTTATGTCTTTATTTTTTATTCTAGCGAGTTCATACATCAACATATACCACTTGTGAAGTTTTGATGAGTTTCTTGTGCTATTTTGATGAATTTGATTGATAGTCACAAAAATTTATCAAATACTTCAGGCAGGTTTTTAAGATTATTGAAATCATATCAAAAGCACTGTAGCTACTGTTCCTTCTGCTTGTGTTTTGCTCACGCTAGCCTCGTCAACTTTCGCTGATTTCCACGAGGGGCGTGTCAATTACATTATAAATAGTAACAAACATTAAAAATGAACATATTTACAATAGTCAACCTAATATTATACCATAATAATTATATTTACATTATATTATGAGAAATTGTGAGCACTAATTCGACTTTTAAATATTGGCAAGGTAGCCGAATCACGCAAATCTTCAGGTAAGGAATTCCACAATTTCGCCCCATCGTAAGAAAAACTTTTCTTAACATTTTCAGTCTGGGGAAAAGGGATTTGCAGTGATGTAGAGGAACCCCTAAGCTCGTAATCTGTGACATCACTTTTACGCATAAAAAGATTAACAAGTGCATTTAGGGACAAATCATTTAAAACTTTGTACATTTGTACTGCTTTAGACTTAGCTCGTTGAGACTCAAGAGTTTCCCACCCTAAGGCAGTAATTGCTTCTAATCCAGGGGTATCATTTGTCATACTCATTACTATTCTCGCCGCTGTATTCTGCAGTTTTTGAAGTCGAGTTGAAAGGCCAATGCCCAAGGTATCCCATACCTCACTGCAATAATCGAAATGAGGGCGAACTAAAGCATTGTAGATAGAGATCAAGGTTTCCCTATCGACAAAGTCACGTATTCTTCTTAAAGCTCCTACCCCGGAAGTAACCTTCTTGGCCACGCTTTCAACATGCTTGTTCCAAGACAATTTTTCATCAATTTGAACCCCAAGTAATCTACTATGATGAACTTGCTTAATTTTGTCT